GCCTCCCGGCCGGGGCTCCCGGCGCCCGCCCGGGGCTGGCTTTGGCTGTGGCCGCGCGGGGCGGGGCGCGGCTCCTCTCCGCCCCGAGCCACCTGGGGCGCCCCGGGAGAGGCGGGCCGACAGGTGAGCGCCGCACGCCGGGGAGCGGCGCGGGTCCCCCGCTTGGGGACACCGCCCGGGTCCTGCGGCCGGTGGCAAGAAGCCCAGCGAACGCGAATAGGTCCCTCTCTGCGGAGGAGCTGTTCCCACCGAGCCTGGCCGGCTGCGGGAAGAGCGCAGACCCCGCGTGGAGCAGCCAGAGGGACACTGCAGCCCTCACAGAGCGGGGGCGCAAGAGTCCCTCGGGGTGAAAACGGGGAGGCCAGGAGCGCAACTTAGTTCAGAAACGGAACTTAGGCCTTTTAGACCATTCGGTTCTACCCCTTCCACGCCTCACCCACCTCTCAAACCATGTCTGCCCCTCTTTTAAAAAGAATATATTATGCTGTGTAAGTGAGATAATTCCCGAGTTGCGGCATCCTCCCCAACTCTGGAGTCTAAGTCCAACATTGCTTCTCTGCAGTTGAATCTCCAAAGCCTTGTACAAATCCAGGCAGCCCAGGGCTCTGTGGGGAGCAGAAGGTATGGTCCCAGGCCAGGGGGCTCCAGTGTTGTTCTGTGATATCATTTGAAAACAAGTTCCCTGCCTTTTAGGTCACTCTTTTCTCTTTTATCACTTTCCTTCCTGACACTTCCAACCAAGCAGCTGGTATGTGGGAGGCCTGCACTGTCAGGACCCTGTGAAGGGGTCAGGCAAATCTCTGACTTAGGAAGAGGGCACACGCACCAGTGAGAACCCTCCCCAGTGCTTGGATAATATCTGGCCTAGGAGGTGGCAGAGTTGAGTCTGAGGTCCAGGCATATCCATCTCCAAAGAGAGCAGAGCAACCTGGAGCCCTGAGGTGCTTAGCTGGAGACAGGTCTCCCATAGAAACTAAGCAGGGATGTGGCCACTACAGAGGATTCCACCCCTGGGCTCTGCAGGACAAGGAACATCTAAGCCGCTGGTACTAATGGAGGTCCCTGACAGATTCTAAAAGAGTAGAGCATTTTTTAAAGTTTCCCATGTAACAGATGATCTGAACACACATGTGAGGGGTAAGAGGTGCAGCTGGTTCCACACAGGTTTGGACTCACAGAGAAAACTCATCCGACTCTGCTATTGGAAGAGCTGTTCAGCTTCCAAGATGCACAGAGCCCATCCTGGCTGTAACTATTTCGGGGCCCTGCCATGACTGCACACTAAACCTCCGAGGCAAAAGCTGAAGGCACTGAGCCAAGGTGATGTCAGGGATGAGTAGACTGCCCATCCCTCCCCCTAACTATGACCCCAACACTGCCAAGGCCTGGGCCCCTCTTTATCGCACACCTGGATCCTACACTAGGGAGTGTTTAACATCTGGTGCTCCCTGGCCAGCCTGGCCACACTAGACAGGCCATCCTGGAGAAAAGTTACAGAGGATGCCGCGCCCAGCTGTGCCTAACCACACTGCGACTCCCCCGTGGCAGGTACTGCTGTCCCAGGGTGGGGCAGTGACAGGGCCTCCCTGTGGGCCAGCCAGCAGGTGGGGCTGACCAAAGAAGCCGCTCCAGGTCCCACCCAGGAGAAGCCGGCCCAACCCTCTTTATATTTTGGTTTCAGTCGGTGGAGCGTGTGATTTAAGATCCTCTGTTGTGTGTGTGATCATAGATGGGCCGGCCTTGTGAGTGATGCCACCTGAGGGCTGAAAACCTTCCAGAAAACACAAGTTCTACTCCAGAGCCCTGCCCTGCCCTCTCCCCTTCCCCTTCCTCTCCCAATCTGCAACAAGTTTCTTTTACGTTTGGTTAGGGCTACACACACACACACACACACACACACACACACGTTTCTTTATGAAACATGATCATATTCACCCAAATTCCCCAAATTCTCCCCAATTCAGCCCAATAGTTTCATCTTTTCTTTTCCTTTTTTTTTTTTTTTTTTTTTTTTGTGATAACTCACTAAGTCCAATTAGTATTGTCCATATGAGTATGGGTGAGGGGTTAGTCATTGGAGCATGGGAAATATACGAGTGTGTTTTTTTTTAAGATTTATTTATTTTATTATGTATACAGTGTTCTGTCTGCATATTCACCTGAATGCCAGAAGAGGGCACCAGATCTCATTGTAGATGGTTGTGAGCCACCACGTGGTTGCTGGGAATTGAACTCAGGACCTCTGGAAGAGCAAGCAGTACTCTTAACCTCTGAGCCATCTCTCCAGCCCCATGCCCACACATTTTAAAACAAAAGAATAATTCTTCCTCTCCAGCTGCTATCAACTGCAGAGAAAGCTTCTCAGTAAGGAATGGGAGGGGAGAGCAATGCCCCCCCCCCAATAAACTTCCGTACAGTCTGTGCAGGTAACCACAGCTGGTCAGAGTTCGTGAGTTCATCAGCTATGTCAGGGCTGGAAATCTGCACCTCTTAGCACTCTTCCCCACCATCTGCTCTTACATTCTGTCTACTAATCCCAGAGCCCATCGAGGTGTAATTGGGGAAGATGGCCCACTTGGGCTCAGACTCATATTCTGAGCACTTAGACCAGTTAAACATGTTTCTTTTTAATTATTTTAATTTTATTTATTTATGTATTCTATGTATGAGTGTTCTGTCTGCATGCATGCCCAGAGAGGATATCAGATCCCATGGTAGATGTTTGTGAGCTACTATGTGGGTGCTGGGAATTGAACTCGGGTCCTCTAGAAGAGCAGCCGGTGCGCTTATCTGCTGAGTGGCTAAGCCACTGAGCCATCTCTTGCCCACGTTTCTTGATAGGATATTTCTTCTGCTTAGAAAATACAAAGCCCCAAAACTTGACAAGATTTCTTCTGGAAACGCTCAGCAGAAAAGTGGCTTGTGAAGTCTGGAGGTCTGGTGCTGCTGTGAGGGTGGGTGAAATAAAGCCTGGGAATGTTTGTTTGCATAAGGCTTGGTAAACGGGGTCCCAGTGGCATGGCATTGCCTTGCCTCTGGCTGCCAGTGTGGAGAGCCCACTCGTGTCTACTAGATAGTAAAGATCTGGAGGGAAGGACGAAGCCACTGAAGGATTTCTGAAGATTCTTGGAGTAACCAGGCAATTTTTGCATATTGTTCTATTGGCTATTATTTCTTCTGATGCCTGGGAAAATTATGTTTGAACTTCGTCTTTTTCGAAATGTCTAGTTCTCTGATAGAATAACAAAAGAGAAACTGAGGCTGGGGAGTGGCTCAGTCTGTAAAGCGTTTGCTGCATCAGCTTGAGGACTTGAATTCAGTGGCCCCAGCACCCAGGTAAAAGCCACGCATGGTATCATGGGTCTGTGACCGCAGGGCTGGGGTAGGTGATTAGAGGGACAGAAACAAAAAGAATTCCAGACTTAATCCCTGAGCTCCAGGTGCGGTGAGAGACTATCTCAAAATAAAAAATAAGGTGGTTAGTAACTGAAGAATGCACGCAACAGGGACTGTTGGGCTCTGTCCACAGCACACACACACACTGCACACAAAGAGAAACAATGAAGTGTGGGTAAAAAGAGAAAATGTCTAAAAAGGACAGAATCTTTTAACAATGAGCTCCAGGATACAGCTTTTTAATTTTGTACACATTAATTCTTTCTGTCATTTTCTGTGTGCTTTTTATTGGTTTGGTTTGGTTTGGTTTAGGGCAAAGTCCCTCTGCATAGGTCTAGCTACCCTGGGACTCTCTATGTAGACCAGGCTGGCCTAGAACTCACAGAGATACACTGGCCTCTGCCTCCCCCGTGCTGGTATTAAAGGTGTGCACCAACCACACTCTCCTCTTGCTTCTTTATTATACTATTATTATTATTATTATTATTATTATTATTATTATTATTACTATGTGTGTAGAATTCTGGGCACTGAGAAGCCACTTGGTTAATTATAGCTAACATGGGAGTAGTATAGAGAAATAGCCAGAAAGATTCAGATCAGAAGGAGCCAAGAATCTAGGATTTAGATTCCACGGTTCTGGATCAGAGTTTAATGAGAAGTTGGGGGTGTAAAATAGAATGATAACTAACCCTAGGAGAGTGGCTGCTTTGTGCCCGGCACTGCTCTAAATGCTTTGAGTCTTAACCCAGAACCCTGGACCCTGCAAATGGATGCAGGATTCTGGTCTTCTCTCCCTTTCCCCTTCCTACACTGAGCATCACCATCTGAAGAGCTGAAACTGTTCTA